TTTTTCTTTCATGTAGATCCGCCATATTTAGTCCCCAGGATTTGTAAAGCCTGTCTCAACTCGTTGTGAATGCGATCTTTGACACAAGGGAAATCGGTAGTAGTCAGATTCAATGAAATATTGCGCCTGTATAACAATAAAGAATGTACTGCTGCCTTAGCCAAGTATAAGCTGTCGATGCTCTATTTTATTGGAGAACTGCTACGCACTTACGCGGACTAAAAATAGGCCGTTTTTATAATCTATATGTACGCTCTGCAAGCAGTTGGATAAGCCAAGCACAGCGTTTAATTCGTTAACTTATTTACTTCGTCTAGACACGTTGCGACCATATGTTCATCAATTCACAAATAGCAGTCAAAACACAGCTGCTTTTGAGGAAGGAATGCATGACAAACGATCCGTTTAAATGCAGACGACAGCCCCGTTCAGGGATCAGAAGCGGGTTGCACCAAGTCAGAAAGACGGAGGCCACCGTTTTAAGATGCGTTCATTTGAAGCAAAATGAAATACCGAGCTGCTAAAAAATACTAATCTCATTTTAAATCCAGTCATTTAATCTTTACTAATTTTATCGACAAAATAACCCAATTAAGCAGCAACGATTAGTGTTCCTCTGTAACTTCAACACCCAACAATGAGAGCAATAAACACACCTAAAAAGCTGAGTACTTACATGTACGTAAAAACTCTGAAAATAGCTATGACTAGTGTCATTAATTTATCCACTTTCAATTCAACTGCTATTACCCTGGTCTTAATTTCAAAAACGTTTTCTTTAGGGCAAAGGATACTGCAACCTGAATACGTACCAAAAATACTAGTACAGAGGTGATCTATTTTATATTCAATCTGTGTATCTTAGTATGTTTGCTCCCACGTATATAATGCTCATGACAGTAGTGCTAGGACATCAGAGACCAAGGTCGAATACTTTTGCTTCGCTTACGTGTCTATTTTATATTCAAACTTCGTGCTCCAACGTCTAGTTCATATAATGCTCATGGGAGTAGCGCTAGGACTTCAGAAACCCCAAGTTCGCGTGCTTTAGCATCTCTTACGTGTTCACTTATATAAATCACAGAATGATGAACGCCACATCTGTATCTATACCTTGACCTTGTGAAACATATTTTCTAAAGCGATTAAGAGTTGGATGACTGTGCAGCGTACAACAGTTATAAAACGAAGTACAAGCAACAAGGTGAATAAACAGATGTAGTTGTTTAATGCACCTCAGCACACAACGCGATGAAATAAAAGAATATGCGCAAACCTGAAAAACAGGGAGACAACGCATTGTAACTGTATCCATTCCGAAGCGAACCTCATTGCGAACAAGACTTGTTCTGTAGAAACAAATCATATACGTTCAGTGACACGAGTTTTGAATATATGTGCAATTAATTCTAGAGCATGCGATATACCAATTCGTTTACAAGCTATCTTGACGCGTTAATCAGTTTATCAGATTCGAAAGTGAAGACAAAATGTGAAAGCATTGGATAAGCATGTATTTACGTCAGCAGGCTATCAATATCCCATTGAATACCCCATTCCTTTCGATAGCAAAGCGTCACTAGAATCCTTAAGTGAGAAAACCTGAACAGCATATACGAGTTTCTTGCAGTTCCATCATAATATATAGCATCATGTGCGGATGTCGAGAATGCAAAATACTGTTTTAGCGACAAATCGAATTTTCGTCGATAAAAAGCAATTTTTCTCATCTTAAGAATCATTACTTGGCCCGTCCCCGCATTTGTATTTGATAATTTATACCAATTATAATTAAAGCATTTACTTCTAAATCCCTGGCCAGACAATGTAGACTTCTTGGTCGTCCCGCCGTTTCAGATGGAAATATCGACGAGGGGTACTTTCATTTGAGGGGGCTTATCATACGGAAGGATCAGCAGCTTTGCACGACATCTAGACGTAGGAATTGCGACATTGGGACATTTTCAAATGAGTACAGAATACCTTCCAGCCATGGCGAGTCTCCCTGCGGCATTACGCTTTGTATATATATATGAATGCTGCGTATAACTAAACTTACATGTACGCCCTGCTTGTTATGTAGGTGCACTGGAGATAACCTTTACTGTCAATACCATAACAAACTGGTATATTCATTAAAAGGTGGTTGGTTATTGCTCGCTCCATAAACGATTTTTTTTTTGATTGGCGTTTTAAGTAAGTGGCAAGAGAAACTAACTTCGGTGATCAACTATACATGATCACGCATATGCTAAATGAGGAAAAGAATAAATTTGATATTTTTTGTGATTATAAGCAACGACAGTATACCTGTTCTCATCATTAGGGATGATGATGGACGGCATGAGAATCACTGTTAGATATTTATGCAGATTCTTCACCCTCTTGTGATATCGGTAAAACGCTGCACTCAAGAATAAGTAGGGAATATCGTGGAAAACCTTTCTATATAAGCCGAATACACTTGATATCATTTCGAGACATCGTGCTTGCTTCAAATTTAATTTGCCGTATAATGTTATTGCAGACGTTATCAAATGATATTAAAATGCGGTGTATTAGACGAGTGTTATACGGATATGCATGTACACATATCTCTGGACGCACGGTATATTTCGCGACGCTTTTCAAGTCCCTTGAGGCAAAGACAAGGACTGTTGGATTCACACCAATATAGTTTTATAACATAATATATATTTAATATAGTTCTGCACCAAACATACCGCCTATTACACGTGCTATTTACTGTGTTTATGACTGAAAGCAGCAAAGTAGAGAAGCCCTTTCAATCCGTTCACCCTTGTCCCCACGTTTCGACACACACACGTGACAAACGATTATCATATTCTCTAGTCTGGAGGTCAGGTATAAGACAAACATGTGTATTGAAACCCGGTGTACTTTGACGCGTGACTCATAAATGCATATGGCACGTGTGTGCGGAGTGATTCCCACCCACTATGTATTTACCAACCTCGACGGCGCCTCGTGAGGACGGCCTAGCGTTCACGATTCTGTCTGATCGTTGGTTGGACGAACTTCCGTTCCTCTGCTTCCGGTTTCTGAAACTTACCTTTTCTTTTTCTGCGTCTGCGTCGTTTGACACTTCAGTTTCCTTTTCACACGCTCTGCAATGAAATTACACAGCCGTTTTAATATCGATTTTGGTTCCAGCCCTAAAACAGCAATTTCTCAATAAGTTATATAACAACATGTGGACTTGTTATTCTCGCGTGAAGTGTGACGGTCCTTATACAAAACAAACAAGGTCTATAATCTTGAGTGAAAATGCACAACAGAACTTGTCATCAATGTCAAATCATTACGCTCGGCCACAAATCCCAGACAAATGTACTCTTTATGGCCTCAAAAACACAGAAAGGATGTACGTCAAATGACTTGATTTGCATATATACTACCTTATTATAGAGCTCTGAAATAACCCATCTTTTCGGTGTATAGGATTAATGATATCTATAATCATTCTGACTGAATATATCATTGTATATCAGGTCACGTTTATCACGTGTTCCTTAGGTTGGCATAAAAGAGAAAAAAATGAATGAACAACACTACTTCTACTTAAAAATGGTCGACTGGTCAGAAAAGGTGGAGTGAATAAGTAAACACATCTTAATCCAATCTTCAAAAGCCGATTATGTCACTTCCGCAGGACAAATAATGAGTAATCCCTAACGAGAAACATAAGAGAACGGTACAACTAAGAAGCCCACCGGAGATGACGATACATTTATTCATTGTTAAATATACAGATACTACAGACAGCAAGAATGTGGCTGTGCCGTATGTGTGAAACAGTACAACCATTAATGACGTCTCCTAATAATTGTCGACATGCTTGCGGTTCCAAAGTCGACTATCTATTTATGACTCATCTCAGAAATCTAAATAATAAACGGTATCTCATATGGGTGGGTACGTAAGCCTTCATTTGCATTCCCTAAATATAAAACTATTGTGCGAAACATATAATCTTAGTGATAACTAACACCAGTAATGATGTGAAGCATAAGCAAACACTCTCCCGAATGTTGTGTAAAACGTGGTCTATTGCATACAGAAGATAATGGGCGTTTAATGTCATCCGCTATGAAAACGTGCATACTTAAACACATACTAACTGCCGGCTCCATAACGATAACGCTTTATAGTTACGTTTTGTGCATGGGATGATTAATTTGCTTTGGAAAGGGATTCTATTTCACACTTACGCACGTTGTGTACAAGTGCCGTCTACCAGGTTCAAAGATGTATATTTTTTTTCGCTGGATATTCACAGATATTTATTCAGCAGATCTTGTCATTCATTAGTTGTGACCATTACTGCGCCACCAGGTCCAGCTTTTGGACAAAAATGACGTCATCACTCAGCTGACCCCAGGTAGGGATTAGCGTATTTGCGAAATTGACTGTTTCGTTTTTATCGCCACTTCATTCATGCGCTTTATCGTGGTTCCTTCACAACTGCATACAAAGTCAAGTGTTTCAATAAAGTAAATTCTTATTTTTTAATCTATGTCGATGACAGTTGCCGATGATCTGACGACAGATGGCGACACTGTCATGCACGTCCTATTTCCCATTCCTCGCTATCCTCAGTCTCCATCAAATTCGAAACCATGCATAAACCCATCACGGAGATCCGTTTATCCTGTCGCCATTTCTTCTCCTTTCCATCTATGCCTAAAAAACATCCCGTGACTACCGTAATTTGACTATTCCATTTCCGACAGAAACCCTGGGCCTCACAATCGTATCATCCTTCACAACAAAATATTTGAAATATAATACTGTTTTCTGTACTTTATAGGATAGATCTAATCATAAATTTCACGAAATCTTGGTTTTCAATTAATCGGCGAGATATCATCATCGTGACGTATGCATACAGTTTGGGACTGACGTCATTAGTCTGCAGCAGTGACGTCAGTAGCCTGTAGAGGCTGGTCGAAGAGGACATGCGTACAGAACAAGGAAAGCAAACTAAGGAGACAGAAAAAGGAGATCAAAGTGTCCGTTAGAGAATGTCACGACTGATCATTGATACGATTATATTGTAAACCCGTGTTGTGACGTCGGTGCAAAAAGGTCTTTCCTTTCTGCGAAAAAAGTTATTTTATGATTGGAAGAAGCTACGTGTTTTCCTAATTCGTCGGCTAGGAACACCTTTTCATTTCAGTTTCTCTGAAAGACCTTATTTAACTGAAAACATTTCTTCAGCTCGAACCACTGCAAGGTGGAATGAACATTTGCTTTTTTTTTTTTTTTTTTTTTTTTGCTTAGGGTAATTATCAAACCTTTATGACAACGAATGCACAAGACGGTTAAGATCGCCAATTGAAATATAAAGTGCAGCAATGCCATAGAACGACACGTAGACTGGGTTCCCATGCCTAGATCGATCCATTTGGATCGGTCTAACTCCCTGGGGAGTCTCACTAAATTTCTATCAACTAAGCGGCTTAAATACCTGTCACGCCTACCGAATCAGCTAGGGGGTAAAGATAATTACCCCCGAACGGCTTTACTAGGCGTGACAGACATTTAAGCCGGTTTAGTCGATAGAAATTTAGTGAGACTCCCCAGGGAGTTAGACCGATCCTAATATCTGTGGGAATGGTCCCTAACAGAGTCACATAAACGGAACCTCAGAGCTCGAGTACTTACCTCAATTACAGAGCAGTAAGCAAACTTGCAGAGAAATGGGAGTAAAACACAATGTAGCGTAATAACATGACAGAATATCTCAAAATGTATCGGTACATCCATCAAGTATAGGCCGTCCGCTCAATGAGAAAAGGGCCTAAATTAAAATGTATTACAGTTTATACGCCTTTTCCATCTTCAACTATATTATTATTATCCTACCGATATGTCGGTGGCTCTCACGTCGTCTATCTATAGATGAAAGTATTCATAGGTGATTTACATAGTTAATGTTACTATTTACTGCCTGACTGATGCCGGTTGTGTAGTTGTATCTTGTCACGTAATAACACTTATGTGTTCTCCGTGCCAATGAACTTTAATTTCTTTCATTTTCATTAACTTTTTTTTCCTACAAAAAATGAGTAAGATAAAACGTGACGTGAACATGAGAACAGTGAGTGATTGCGTTTATGCATGGACCTACTGCTCCCCAATACTCGTAAGTTGTACACCGTACTGAGGTAGCCTATGTATTGAAGGGCAAGTGTACAAAAACTAAAAATGCAGTAAAACACCGTGACGCCTGAAGACCAAAATGATTTCTTAGCGCCACGCCTTCCTGCAAGTAAAAAAGGCAGGTCTATTCACAAACGTGTTAGGCGACAATGGATTCCAGGTGGGCCATTGCCTTTGGCGAGGCGGAAGGTACAGTGAGCTGGTAAATCGTATTAAATCTATAGGCCCCCCTACCTACTCTTTCCTACACGCAGACCAATCGTTTCCCTTTCCAGGACTTTCAAATGCTCCATTCCGATTCTCCGCCTCGTTCCATAGGTCTGTGTACACTGCTGTTGATATCAACGACGTAGGTCGTGATAGCAGTAAGCAGGGGCAGGGGTGGGGGGCATTTCCAACAGTGAAGTCTTCCACTGTGCTTGATCGATCCCGAAATCGCCTCTTCTAATCCTCGAAGTAAGTTCCTCAAGCAGGATATAGCGCCTAGTTTCCCACTCAGGATTCAATCTGCGATGTTAAAAGTCGTGTCATTCCGTCGAACCGTACAGCTACCTCAGTGAAAAAATCCTCAACGCGGAGACTCTTTAATCTTTAAGTGTGACACGTATTTCGAGACCGCAGTGGCGCGAAATCGCATAATAAAGACTTAAAAACTCACGTATTCCCCGCCCCTTCTACAGGTGCTCCCGTGGTTTCTTGTCCAGAAAGAGCCTCCCAGATATTTCGTTGAGATTGCTGCGACATCTTCCTTATGGTTAACCTAGGCAATCGTCATGTTTCAATAGAGGGTGCACGCACTGTATCGTCCGTTGCTTACAGCATGACGATGTCGGCTAAAATAAACTCATATACCTCCCCTTTGGGAGAATATTAATGGCGATCTTCGCTTAAGTTGTGACACGAACTTGTTTAGGTTGATATCTTTTCACATGTTGTATTGTAAACAACACAGGTAAGCCACATGTCATGGTTTGTATAATATCATTGATATCAGTTATAACAATGTTCCTTTTCCGATAAAGGAAGAGTTTGATACGAGTTAACTATAAACGCTCACAAATATAGACTTTTACAAATTCTCCCAACCTTCACCCGGAACGTGTATCGAATAATCAACAATGGCGGACGTCGTGCACAGTGTGGCTATCTCCGTGTGTTTGGTATTTTTTCTAGTAATAGGTGAGTTGTCGAGTTATAACGACGGCGTCAGATAATCAGGTTGACTTCCAAAAGCTGTGCTGTAAGTGGATTTCGCCTGAATTTGTTTGTAGACGGAGAAATCAAGAAAGGTTCGCTGAAGGTCACCGGCTCGAGCGTCTCAACATCACATGACGATCGATCACAAGAATGGTTTTACTGCAAAATGATGTTTTGGCGAGATGAAAAACTACCATTCTAACACTGAAGTAGCAAATTGGGGTGATTATGTTGAAATCATAAGTGATTTTGTTCTGATTACTTGTTTTGTGCTTAAAATTAAGCTATCAGCACGGTAGCTGTCACTAAGCTGGCTGAGCTAGTCAGAGTTACGTGTACTCAGTTAGCCTTTCAACTAATAGTGCGATGTATGCTGCTGCTTGGAAGGGATGTTTCACCATTTGGGTCAAATAAACACACACACACATGTTGTATATGGAATAATATGAATAGTTCGATCTGATTTAGTTAATGTCTTTGGATATAACATATCAAAATCAAAATAGTGTACCAGTATTTTATGAAGCGAGACTCTCTCTTTCTCTTCCTCTTTCTCTTGTTCTCTCTGTCTCTTTTTGTGTGTGCAGTATCTGAGAAGGAACCCCCAAAAAAGTCTATGTGTCATATGCATAAAATGAGTAGATTAACTGCTGCAGACACTGGAGACATGAGATTCGGCGATCAGCATTTTGTATCAGTAGATTTCTTGCTTGTATTGATAAAATGATATCATCTTGATATCACATGTGAAACAATGGAACAGGATGAATACTGTTCATCATGGTAAATCAGATTTAATGTGACAGGCTTACCAGATACACTTCCACAATCGTACAAAATAAATTGGCACATGAAAAGGAAACATGAAATAGTAGATTAAAGGTATTAATTTACAAATGTATTAAACGTAGATGTAGTGGATTTGAACCATGATCATTTATATTACTGTAGTTGACTAGAGTTACTCAAATGAGTAGATGTTGGGAGAGGAGTGTACATACGTGCCTTCTATGCCTGCATGCCCCTCCCATCTTGCAAAAAAAAAAAAAAAAACTTTGAAGTCACCATTTGATAATATTTTCAGTTCAGTTAGCAACTCAGTGAAAAAAAATTCTGAAATATCCCTCCTCACTGTGTCATTACAGGCTGCCTAAGTTCCAGTGATTTTCTTGTTCTCCATGCTCCAAGCACTGTGCAGTTCCTGCAGGACCCAGGTAAACTTCAGCTCAGTGAGGTACCAGATGTCATATCTCTTACCTATGGATTCACAGTAAACAGGGTAAGATGTATGGAAAACAGGGGCATTGTATCTCTAAATGAGGAAAGGTATATTTGCATCTTGTAAATTTGAAAGCTGTCTGAGGACTTTTCATTGTTTTCATAGATTTTTAAAAGACTTATTAAGTTATCAGTATCTTATTGAGATGAAAATTAAAGAAATAGACCATTGATAACTTATTAAGGAGGTTGGCAGGGTTTCTTAGGGGGGGAGGGGTAAAGTTGAGCTGTTCACCTGTGCGTAAATATTGTTGACATCTGCTTAGAACACAGACTTGGAAAAAAGTAACTGATCACCATATACTATGCAAAAAAATGGAATAGTAGCAGTCTTATACCTAGTCTAGTGTAATTTGGTCTTCTAAAAATGTCTGCAGATAATTTCGTGCCTAGCTTGGACAGCTGAAGTTGTGAGCATCCATGAAGTGATTCATCCTCAACTTTCATTTTTATTTTATATCATATCACTTCATATAGTTTTTATGACCTTATGTGGCATAAAATATATATAAACTGACCTATGTTATTTACAATGCTGGCATAATTTATGCATCATTTATTTTATTTCATGTAGCTCGTGTAAAGCCAAGGTTAATGCAGTTAGTGTCAACAACTGCATAAATATATGGAATAGTTAAGTGTTTTTGTGGAAGCTGAGTCACTGTTGAGGTGATCTCAAACATTTACATTAAAAGCGCTAGTAAAAGTTATGCTTGTATTTACTGGGTGCATGTGACAATTGTCATACGGTGTCTAGAAATAGGCCCCATTCCCATAGACACCATTGATCTATTTAGATCGATCCAACTCTGCAGGGACTCTGGCTGAGTGCAATCAGCTTAACTGAATGACATGCCTCCTGGTGTTGAGTTCAGTACAGAGAAGCTGATAACGAGTATGTTGGAAACAAGAAGAGACGTGTCATTCGGTTAAGCTAATTGCACTCAGAGTGAGTCCTTGCAGAGTTGGATCGACCCATGTAGATAAATGGTGTCCTTGGAAATGGGGATAGATTGTTAGGATTTGTGTAGTTTGGGATGTAAAGCTCTCAATTTTCATGAAAGCATATGTAACAATTAGCCAGGTGCTACAAATAATTTGAGTTACATGAGTCATTGTGAAAAGAAGAAAAATTCATATATTTATTTACAAGTTTTGTCAGATGCTGCCAGATATCTTTCTGGTTCATGAAAATGGAAGTGTATTTCCTAATTGTTTGTTTGTTTCTTTTTATGTTTTATTAATTTGTGTCCAAAACATATTGTTAAGTCAGAGGGCAGAGTCCCAAGGATTGAGAAATAAATTGATTATAACCCTATATTTCTATTTTCATGTGGTAATCATTTCAGGATCTCAACTTCCAAGGTCTTGCTGCGGGCAGCCTGTTCAAACGGCCCAAAGCCAATGTACTGATAGCAGTGGATGGGTTCACAGAGAACTCCCCCTCACTAGAGACCAAACATGGAGCCAAAGTACCTCTAGACTTAGTAAGTCAGTATGAGAGATGTATACAGTACTGGGAGGTGTGCACATTGGGTGCCAATGTTTTTACTGCCAGGTTGAGATTGCCTGTATTTCTGACGGTAGTTATAATGTCAGTCAATTGATAACATGAGAATTTTTTTTTTTTTATTTATGTATTTTTTTGTGTGTGTGTGTGTGTGTGTGTGTGTGTTACACAGACTCATTGCTTTGAGACCCTCAAGTCAGGTGATTAGCACAGTATTAACTGATGGAATACATGTGTTTATCAACTTGATTAATATGACCTTGTTCACACATTGTTTTGTCTGCTTTCTGGGGTAAATCTTGAAATAGATTTAGCAGTTATGATTTCTGAAGCCCCTCTGTTATTCCCGCCATCAATATGCTCCTGACTTCTATTAATAATTTTCATCATCGTATGTTGTTTGTCTTCTTGGCTGTATCCATGATTTCTGGACAAAATGTAAGACTTCTTTACTAGTGTGGTATCAAGCTAGGCAGGTGATATAGTAATCACTCAAATCTGTTTCAACAACTGGAATTGAAAGTTTTCCCAAAAATGTCATTGGTAATAATATGTAAAATGTAGATTCAGGAGTTCCTAAAAGTTGTTTGGTTTTGTGTAAAAAAAAAAAAAAAATACATTGTTGTGAGTGTCTGAAAATGGTAAATCTTGAAAAAGGAGCGAAAATGTGGTTTGAAGAGTTTTCTATTGTGGTACAGGATTGTGCATTAAACTTGGTTATGTGCCAGGTTCAAAATGATACATCAATCTTAAGATTGTGCTAAAATTGATACAATATGACTTATTGACACTTCTGACTTTACTTTTTAATTTGTTTTTTAGTTATTTATTAGGATTTTTATTTACAATTCTTAAAGACTGACTTCGTTTAAGTTTCAGCTAAGGGTTTTAAATAGGAATATTCTATGAGTGAGTGCCTAGCAAGACTGCAGTTAGGTACAAACTAATGATTACCTAATACAGTGGTTAATGGACTATATTTTCCCATGGCAATGGGAAGACAGGAGATTAACACTGATGATTTAATAGGTGTAGTTGCTGTTGTACCAGTGCCCTTCGAAAGTGTGGAAAATTTATGTGTGTGAATAGAGCAAAATGCCTTTTATGGGTTTTTTGTGTGCTTGTATGGAGTGGAAATATAAGGGGAGGGAAAGTTTTTTTAAAAATTGCACTAGATATTGTATTTTTTATATATTCGTTTATTTTATTTCTATATTCATCATTTCATTATTTTATTATTTTGTTTATTATTATTATTATATTTGAATAACAGTAACTGTTAAATGGTAATGTAATCATTGCTCTAGGTAAGACCTATGAATTCAGAAGGTGGTTTGAATTACACTCGTTTTTATTCAAAAAGAATGGCTACAGATTTATTATTTCTTTTCAAGATTTTTTTCAATTTCCGTAAATGGGGAGATTTGTATTTGCTGGGTTGATCCCCCCCTCTCTCTCTCACGCACACACTCCCCCCCCCCCTTTTCCCCCTTTCCAAACACAGCAAATGTACTTAGGGCTCTTACTGCAGAACTTTTTGAAGGCTTTCCTAGTGCATTTTGGCCCTGAAACTGTGTTAAAAAACAGGACCAAATCAAATAAACTCCGACTTCCTGTTATCTACAACCAGACATCTATATGCTTTTTACTTTCTATGATAATGGAATTAAAAGATAATATTGTGTCATAACAGTAATTGCCAAGGAAAAGCATTGTTTAAGTCTTGCCGTAGTTTTTGTTACCCTCATGTCAGAGGAAGGTCACAAGATACTGTACATATATCCATTAACTTAATATGCTGGTTGAATTATTTTTTCTCAGCTTGTTGATTTAAAGTGTATTGATGTTAAAGATATGATAGTTGGATGTATT